TGTTGCAGGGACACCTGGGACAGGTTGCAGGGACACCTGGGACAGGTCACAGGTACACCTGGGAGAGGTTGCAGGGGCACCTGGGACAGGTCGTGGGGACACCTGGGACAAGTTTCAAGGATACCTGGGACAGGTCACAGGTACACCTGGGACATTTAATTCGATTCAGTTTATTTATATAGCGCCAAGTCACAACAGAAGTCGTCTCAGGGCCCTGAACAGAAAAATTCATATATAAAATAAGTTAACATTATTTATGTGAGGAACAGACTGCTTTTAGTTTAACTCCACCACAGAACTCTCATCTTGAGCAAGCATGAAGGTGACAGTGGAAAGGAAAAAATCCCTCATGAGAAAGAAACCTTTAGCAGAACCAGGCTCGGGACAAGTGGTCATCTGCTTCAACCAGCTGGGTTTGGTAAGAACAGAAACACAATGGCAGGTCAAGAATCATGTTAAGATAGAAATAGTATCGAATGAAAACTATTCAGTTTTAACAAATCGTTTAAGGAGATTAGGTCAATTTGTCCTCCAGTAGTCCATGCTTATGGCAGCATGACAAGCCAACCATAACTATTGGAATTATCAAAAGGGAAAGACTTAAACCCAGTCTTAAAACTGGACAATGTGTCAGCCTCATGGACAGAAACTGGAAGTTGGTTCCACATGAGAGGAGCCTGATAACTGAAAGATCTTCCTCCTGGTCTGCTTTTGGAAACTCTAGGGACCGAGAGATAACCTGCAGTCTGAGAGCAAAGTGCTCTGTTAAGAAAATATGGAAAAACAAGATCACGAATATAAGATGGAGCTAGGTTGTTGAGAGCTTTGTAGGTTAGAAGTAAGATTTTGAATTCAATACTGGATTTGACAGGGAGCCGATAGAGAGAAGCTAAAACTGGAGAGATATGATCTCTCCCACTAACTCCAGTTAAGACTCTGGCAGCAGCATTTTGGATCAACTGAAGACGTTTTAAAGAAGTATTTGGACACCCAGATAATAAACCATTGCAATAGTCCAGTCTAGACGTGACAAATGCATGGACCAGTTATTCTGCATAATTTTTAGATAAGATGTTTCTAATTTTAGTGATATTACACAGGTGGAAGAAGGCAGTTCTAGTAACGTTTTTAATGTGGGGGATAAAAGACATGTCCTGATCAAAAATAACACCAAGATTTTTAACATTAGAGCTGGAGGACAGATTAATGCCATCTAAGGAGGGAGAAAGACTGAAAAATTAATTCCTAAGATGCTCAAAACCAAAACCTCAGTCTTTGTGTTCAAAAGCAGAAAATTTAGGGTCATCCAGGTTTTTATGTCTATAAGACATGCTTGTAGTCTAAATAGCTGATTGAATTCATTTTGTTTCATGGACAAATATAACTGTGTATCATCAGCATAACAATGAAAATTTATCTGTTGCTGTTTAATAACATTAACTAATGGAAGCATATACAAGATACAGAGTATTGGTCCAAGCGCTGAACCTTGAGGAACTCCATGACTAACTTTGGTGTATGATGAAGATTCATTATTTACATTTACAAATTGGAATCTATCAGATAGATATGATTTAAACCAATTTAGAGCCATTCATGTAATTCCAATATTATATTCAAGTCTCTGTAATAGAATATTAGGATCCACTGTATCAAATGCAGCACTGAGGTCTAACATGACCAGTGTAGACACCTGTCCATTGTCAGAGGCCATGAGAATATTATTAGTAACTTTCACCACTGCAGATTCAGTGCTGTGGTGAGCTCTAAACCCTGACTGAAACTCTTCAAACAGATTATTTCTTTGCAGATGATCATGTAACTGCTCAGCAACTATTTTCTCTATAATTTTTTAGATGAAAGTTAGATTAGATATAGGTCTATAGTTGGCTAGGATTCCTGAGTCAAGGTTATGTTTCTTAAGTAAATGGTTAATTACAGCAATCTTAAAACTCTGTGGTACGTGACCATTTATCAGAGACAACTTAAGAAGATCCAAGATGTGGTTATTAATTAAGGGAAATATCTCTTTTAACAGTCTGGTTGGGATGGGATGTAGCAGACGTGTGGCTGGTTTGGATGAGGTTATTATTTTTGACAATTCAGAGAGCTCAACAGGACAAAAACTGTCCAAACACAAATCAGGTTCTAGTGACATTTTTAAAGTTGTCTCATCTGACATAGAACCAGAGGCGAGACTAGGAATGTTGGTTTGAATTGTTTCCCTAATTGAAACAATTTTATTTATAAAGAATCTCGTGAAGTCATCACTACTTATAGTTGTAGGGATGCATGAATCAACAGAGATAGGATTTTTCATTAGACTAGCTATGGTACTGAAAAGGAACCTGGGGTTATTTTTATTCTCATCAATGAATAATATGAATAATATAAAGTTCTAGCTTTACGGAGTGCTTTTTTGTACGTTAGTAGGCTATCTCACCAGGATAAGTAAGATTCCTCAATGTTAGTGGCACGCCATTTTCTTTCTAGCTTTCTAGATGTCTGTTTTAAAGTATGTAGCTCAGAACTGAACCAATGAGCTAATCTTGGGAGACTGCAATGAAGCCAAGATTCAACTTGTCTGCTGGATTCCTTAGATAGAGAACTTTACTAATTGGCTTTTATGTATGTGAATGTTTCTGTAAAGTGCCTGAGACAACTTTGTTGTGATTTGGTGCTGTATAAATAAACTGAATTGAATCTTCTCTGATTGACTACTTTTTTTTTCAGTGGAGCAGCTTTAGCGAATAAAGTTTGCAACATAGTTGTAAAATTATCAACTAGATGATCTAAGTCACTATTCTCTGTATTACTCTGCAAGACAGAAGAAAACGATGGAAGAGAATTTTTAAATTTGGTTACAACATTTTCTGATAAGCGCCTGCTAAGGTGAACTTTACTCTCAGTGACTGTGTAGTCATTTAATGTAAACTCAAAGGTTATTAAAAAATGGTCAGACACAACATGACTTTGAGGATGCATTACTAAGTTATTAATCTCGATGCCATAGGTCAGAACTAGGTCAATGGTGTGATGATGAGAGTGAGTAGGTGTTCGGACGTTTTGGGTCAAACCACTTGACTATTAAGGGACATGTCATAGGGACACCTGGGACAGGACGCAGGGACACCTGGGGCAGGTCACAGGTACACCTGGGACATGTCACAAGGACAACTGGGACAAGTCGCAGGGACACCTGGGACAAGTCGTAGGGACACCTGGGACAAGTCACAGGGACACCAGGGACAGGTCACAGGGACAGGTCACAGGTACACCTGGGACAGGTCTCAGCGACACCTGGGACAATGCAACTGCTACTGGGTCCAAAATAACCACATCTTTATAAACATCTCATGTTTGAGGACCAAGAAGTACAATATAAACTCCAACAATTATGCTACTGCCACAAAGAACTCAGAAATGTCTGATTGTAATGCTTTTATTCCTGGCTGGTATTCAACCTAATCCTGGTACTTTCACCTCATGTAGTACTCCAGATCTTAAAAATATGTCAGGCTTACACATTGTGTATATTAATGCTCGTAGCTTCCTTCATAAAATAGATATGAGGATTTGGGTTTCTTCTACTGTTGCTGTTATTTCTGAGTCTTAGTTAACTAAATTGATTCTGGACAAACATGTATCAGTTAAAAGGTTTCAATATTTATTGTTTAGATCATTCCAGAAAAGGAGGAGGTGTAGCAATATACGTCAGATCTAGCTTGTTAACACAACTGGTACTTACAAAATCAGCATCTAAACAATTTGAAATCTTGGCGCTAAGCACTGTCTGTTGTTCATTCATTATCTGGTGTTGTCTGCTATAGACTCCCTACCACCACATCTGAACGCCTGTCGTCTTTAATGCAGCTCTTAACTAATTTACATCCACATACAGTATATGAAGCAGTTTATTGTTTGTCTGCACAGAATAGAGAAGGAGATCGAAGCTTTGGAGACGAAGGAGCTGAACATTTCTGCCAATGAGGAGGTTCTCCTGAAGCGACTCAAAGAAGTAGAGAGGACACCTGAGGACATCATCAAGGTAGGTTTAAAGCAGACTTTTCCAACCTGCATGCATCACTAACTCCTTCACTGATGTGCGCTCCTGACCAGCTGTTGTGTGTTTGCACCACCACGTGACAAGATCTGGGTTTTGGATCAACAAACTTGACAGGCTGTGAGGGGCAAAAGCACCACGCGTGACACCACGTTTTCTATTTCACCACAGTGACCAAACAGGAAGTGCAGCCTGTTTTAAAATCATTGTCTAATCGAGCCTCTTCTCATAGATGGAAGCTGCTGCTTTTTAGAACAACGTTGAAATATAAAATAAGGGCTTTACTTTAGATGGATGGACAAATTCTCTTGGTCTGTGTGGAAATGTTTGGGGTCAGGTTGACTAAACTATTCACTGATGTTGAATAGTTTGAGTCAAAATCACGGAACGATAACAAAAGTTAGTTTCTTCTTGTTATGCTGACATACAGAAGTGATGTGATTAGAATTATAACAAATTTCATTTAAAACTGTTTTTTTCACCTTCCTATTTAAACAAAAAATGAAGAGACTGAACAAAAGGACACGGTAGGAGCTAGTCCTGCAATCTGAGAGTAGCATCAGCTGAAGTACTGATACTACCTCTGTGGTAGTACTAACTGAGAATACCAGTTGAATTACTGCAACTACTTCTGTGGTAGCAATAACTGAGAGTAGCAGCTGAAGTACTGAGACTACATCTGTGATAATACTAACTGAGAATACCAGTCCAAGTACTGCAATTACTTCTGTGGTAGCACTAAATGGGAGTAGCAGCTGAAGTACTGATACTACCTCTGTGATAATACTAACTGAGAATACCAGTCCAAGTACTGCAATTACTTCTGTGGTAGCACTAAATGGGAGTAGCAGCTGAAGTACTGAGACTACATCTGTGGTAGTACTAACTGAAAGTACTAGTTGGAGTACTGATACTACCTCTGCAGTAGTACTAACTGAGAGTACCAGTTGAAGTACTGCAACTACCTCTGTGATAGTACTAACTGAGAATACCAGTCCAAGTACTGCAACTACTTCTGTGGTAGCACTAACTGAGAGTAGCAGCTGAAGTACTGATACTACCTCTGGGGTAGTGCTAACAGAAAGTACTAGTTGAAGTACTGATACTTCCTCTGTGGTAGTACTAACTGAGAGTACCAGTTGAAGTACTGATACTACATCTGCGGTAGTACTAACTGAGAATACCAGCTGAAGTACTGATACTACATCTGCAGTAGTACTAATGAGAATACCAGCTGAAGTACTGATACTACATCTGAGGTAGTACTAACTGAGAATACCAGCTGAAGTGCTGATACTTCCTCTGCGGTAGTACTAACTGAGAATACCAGCTGAAGTACTGATACTACCTCTGTGGTAGTACTAACACATTTTCATACATTAGATCTGATTTCAGACAAAGTCTCTTCAGTCTCTTTCGTTTTATTTCCTATTTCTGGATCCACATGTTCTCCCTGCCGTCATGAAGTGATGAAACGACAGAATCCATCCATGGGTTCAAACGTGAAGCGTTAAAAATCTTTCTATGTACTCTGCACAGTCACAATCCTGTGTCAAAGAGGGGACACAGAGAATAAAATATTAAAACCTGCTGTTTGTCTAACCTGATTTCATTCTGACTCTTACCTCAGTGAGGTGGAGGTGAACATATCGATCCAAGTAATCATGAAGAATCCTCATCCTCATCAGGTTAAATGTCTTCATGCCATGTCTTCAGCTGCAGAACAAAAGTCCAGTTCATCTCTGCTCCTTTAGTCTCCATGTGCTGGATGACCGACAGTCTCCAGTGATGATACTGTGACCCAGCAGTCAAACATCAGAGCTGAGCATTCAGACCTGCTCTGTGATTCCTGGTGATACAGGGTGAACGAGTGCTAAAAGTAGATCTACATCATTCAGCAGAAAAGAACAATTGGTCCAGTTTTTATTGGAAGACAACACAAGACGGGGTTAATGATAGCAGGACACAGAAGAGTAAAATAAAACTAGACTGAGTCGGAAAAATCTATAATTCCTGAAGCACTATGATGCTTCATCTACTCTACAAAGATTTATTTTAAATTGATTTTTCTTATTCTCTATCCACATCATAACAAACATGATGCAGTTTACTCCATTCAGCCACTTCACTCCGTGAATCATCACTGATAATTATTACTGACACACGTTTATGACTCAGTGATAGAAAATAGAAACAAATACAACAACATAGATTAATCTAAAGCTCCACATGTTTATAACTGTGGAGACGTGTTAATTGTTTTACCAGACATTATTTATCACATGCATACATTCAGTAAACATAGCGTATTTTTGTCAGTCTGTCTATATCTATATA